GTACAGGTTTGTTACATAGTTAAATGTGTGCCAGGCTGGTTTGCTGCACCTATCAACCCATCACCCAGGTATTAAGCCCAGCAAATGTTAGCTACTTTTCCTAATACTCTCCCTCCCCCTGCTCCTCCCTCCGACAGGTCCCAGTGTGTGTTGTTCCCCTTCTTGTGTCCATGTGTTCTTACCGTTTAGCTCCCACTTATGAGTGAGAAGGATATGGTGTTTGGTTTTCTGTTCCTGCATTAGTTTGCTGGGGATAATGGCTTCCAGCTTCATCCATGTCCCTGCAAAGGACATGATCTCATTCCTTTTTATGGCTACATAGTATTCCATGGTGTATATGTACCACATTTTCTTTATTCAGTCTATCTTTGGTGGGCATTTGGATTAATCCCATCTCTTTGCTATTGTGAATAGTGCTGCAATGAACATATGCATGCATGTATCTTTGTAACAGAATTATTTATATTCCTTTGGGCATACACCCAGTAATGGAATTGCTAGGTCAAATTGTATTTCTGGCTCTAGATCTTTGAGGAATCACCGCATCATCTTCCACAATGGTTGAACTAATTTACATTACCATCAATAGTGTAAAAACGTTCCTGTTTCTCCACAACCTTGCCAGCATCTGGTGTTTGTTTCTGGTTTTGTTTTTTTTGTTTCGAGATGGAATCTTGCTCTGTTGCCTAGTCTGAAGTGCAGTGGCAAGATCTTGGCTCACTGCAACTTCTGCCTCCCAGGTTCAAGCAATTCTCCTGCCTTGGCCTCCTGAGTAGCTGGAATTACAGGTGCCTGTCACTACACCTGTTATTTTGTTTGTTTGTTTGTTTATTGTATTTTTAGTAGACACGGGGTTTCACCATGTTGGCCAGTCTGGTTTCAAACTCCTGACCTCAAGCAATCCACCCACTTTGGCCTCCCAAAGTGCTAGGATTACAGGCGTGAGCCACCAGGCCCAGCCTGTTGTTTCTTGACATTTTTTTTTTTTTTTTTCAGATGGAGTTTTGGTCTTGTTGCCCAAGCTGGAGTGCAGTGGCATGATCTTGGCTCACTGCAACCCCTGCATCCTGGGTTCAAGGATTCTCCTGACTCGGCCTCCTGAGTAGCTGGGATTACAGGCACGTGCCATCCCGTCTGGCTAATTTTTTGTATTTTCAGTACAGACAGGGTTTCACCATGTTGGCCAGGCTGGTCTCGAACTCCTGACCTCAGGTGATCCGCCCACCTCAGTCTCCCAAAGTGCTGGGATTACGGGAGTAAACCAACAGTGCCCAGCCTTGACTTTTTAATAATCACCATTCTGACTGGCATGAGATAGTATCTCATTATGGTTTTGATTTGCATTTCTCTAATGTTAGTGATGCTGAGCTTTTTCTCATATGTTTGTTGGCTGCATGTCTTCTTTTGAGAAGTGTCTATTCATATCCTTTGCCCACTTTTTAATGGGGTTGTTTGTTTTTTTTCTTGTAAATTTGAGTTTCTTGTAGATTCTGGATATTAGACACTTTGTCAGATCACAAAAATTTTCTCCCATTCTGTAGGTTGCCCCTTCACTCTGATGTTAGTTTCTTTTGCTGTGCAGAAGCTCTTTAGTTTAATTAAATCCTATTTGTCAGTTTTTGCTTTTGTTGCAATTGCTTTTGGTGATTTCATCATGAAATCTTTACCCGTGCCTATGTCCTGAGTGGTATTGCCTAGATATTCTTTTATTTTGAAATAGTTTTAGACACACAAGAAATTGTAAAATTTACCCAGCTTCTCCCAACGTTAGTATCTTATATAATAAGACTACATTTTGGCCAGGCGAGGTGGCTCATGTGTGGA